CCCCCCTACCCGCCCGGGACGCCCCTCCCGGGAAGGGTCGCGGGAAGGTGACTGGGACTCGGGGAGCCCGGGGAGGGACCCAGCCCCCTCTGCGTTCCGCACTCCTGTCACCCGCTCCAAAATAGAAGTCCCTTCCCGCCCACATCCTTGTCCCCTCCTCCAAACACCGCTCCCCCAAGCTGGCTCCTCACAAATCCGGCCCGCTGGAGTCAGGGCGCCCGGGTCGGATCCAGCCCAACTGTGTGACCTTGGATGAGTTGCCGCATTGCGCCGGCTCTGCTCCACATCCATCAAAGGCAGACACCGTTTCTTGAGAACCTACTACGTGCCAAGCCGTATACTAAGATATGTGATCCTTGAATCAAAGCCTCAACCTGGTGTCTCTGAGAGAGGAAAAAAAAACTAAGGCTGGAGAGGGGACTCTCCGAGGTTGGGGGGCAGTGGGTGGCCCCTGACCCGCCGCCCTGCGGTCTCTTCTGAGGAGCTCTCCCACCTCCCTCCTGCCCACAGGGGTAAATGGCCAGCACTAAATAACATGTCAAATGGCATCATGGAGGGTGGCATGGGACAGAGGGTGCTGAACCCGGCATGCACCAGGTCCCAGCAGCTCAGACCCAAATCCCTGTCCCAACAATGCTGAAAGATCCAGAAATTGGTTGACACCACCTTCGTCATAGCTAAGGCCAAATTTTCTGCCTAAGTCTCCACTGTAGCTTTCCTCAAACCCTGCAGCCTCCACGCCAGATTATCAGAGCCCAAATCCCTCCCTGGAGCTGGCCGGAAGCTCCTTCCCCATCAAGGCTTGGGAAGTCTGGGTTTACTGACCCCATCCTCTGCCTCTGCTTACCTAACCCCTACAGTTGGGGGCTCCCACATCTCTGATGCCCAGGTACTGGGGGAATTGCACAGGCATATCTGTTTCTGCACTGAACAAGGGTTTTTCTTATCTGTCTCTTCAACAAACATCCCCAATCTTACTGCTTGCCAGGATGCTGAGATAGATTTTTTAAAAAGTCCTGCCTTAAGAGAGAACATTCTAGGGATGGGATGCAGGAATTGTAAGAGCACAGACAACATGCCCACCCCAGCCTGGGAGAAGTGGGAGAGGGAGAAGGAGCTGAGTCTTGGAGAGTGGGGTTCATCCTCCTGGGAGCAGGCGATGGTACCTGGATCAGGGATATGGGTCTGCTTTCACTCCTCTTCTCAGCCACTAGGGAGAGCAGAGCCAGAGTTGTGGCTACATCTGACAGGTGTTCCAGGTCTTCAGGCCCAGTGAGTGGGGACCCTTGGTTTTATTTTACTTTCTGCTGTGATTTTTCCCTTCACCCGATTTCCCCTCTGACGTTTTAACTTTTCAGGCATCTGGGTTTTGTGAGCCGCCTCAGTTCCTTTGGGGAACAAGGCAGGGAGTAAATAAACTAGGCACCACTTTCCCTGTTGGCACTCAGCAGGGTGTGGGGCTGACATCATTATGGTCTTCCTTGGGGCACTCGGGACCACAAACCCCTGCCTGGAGCACCCTCCCTCCCACACGTGGGAGCCAGCTCTGGGTGTCCTGGAAACCTTCCTTGCTTCACTTTCTGACAGAGAGCCCTTCTCTTGGGTAGGGCTTCTTTGGGAACCACAGCCAGGGCTGTGTGTGAGGCATCTCAGGGCCCCAGAGCGTGGTTTTCGGAGTGATGGAAGACACTCTGGACACAGTACGTCCAAGAGCTCCCACAAAGTCGTCCACACTCCACAGGGGTGACACATTCCCAAGGGAACTCTCCCATCAGTATCACTAGCAGCCATTCCCATTTATCAAGGACCTGTGGGGAATTCCCTAGTGGTCCAGTGGTTAGGACTCCAAACTTCCACTGCAGGGAGCATGGGTTCGATCCCTGGTTGGGGAACTAAGATCCCACAAGCCACAAGGTGCAGCCAAAAAAAAAAAAAAAGGACCTGTGATGTGCCAAGCCTTGACTGTAGCTATGCTCATTGAGGCCCAAAGGGATGAGCAGGGAAGTGGCAGCACAGGGACCAGAACCCAGGACCTTAGGCCACTGAAGCTGACTTTCTGAGAAGCCCAACTTCATTGGGGCTCAGAGACCAGAAGGGCTTCAGGAGGAGGTCAGCTGGAGCCTGGGGCCCTGTAGGGAGGGACTCTGAGGAAGCCCCTGTCACTGTGGGAGCTGAGCTGAGACAGGAGTGGGCCGCCCAGGGCCAGGCTTCCCAAAGACTAGCTAGCCAGAGAACTCGGGCTGCCTGTTGGCCGCTGCCTGACATTTGCCCAAAAGGTTTCTTCCCATCCGGCCTGATTCCAGCCCTTCTCTGGGGTTGAGCACCATGGACCCCATCCAGCTCCCAGGGGTATTTGCTCTGGACTCCTCTCACCCAGCCATCTGCGTCAGTCCACTGACCGTTAATCATAATCTGTCCTGCCTGTTAATCACTTGTCCCAGCTTAACTCACTCCCCCAGAGTCCTGATGGGGGAAATCCTTACCATTTGGATGCCTCATGCATCCTTGGTGGGTCCTTGGTGGCCATCGTAAGAGTGCCCATTGATTGTAGCCGGTCAGCCCCTTGAATGCCATGGGGTTTTATAACCATCAGGACACAAGGAGGCAGCACAGGGCAGGGTTTCCAGGCCTCTGGAGTGAGACCTCTAGGGTTTGAAACCGCCTCCCTGGAGGGGTGTCATCTGTACAAGTTATTTAAACTCTCTGAACCTCAGTTTCCTTCTCTAAAGGGGATAATAATGGTCTTGACTTCATATAGTTGTTGTGGGATGAAATGAGATGATACAAAGAGGAAAACAAGACAATTTAGTAAGGCTGGTGGGGGGACTAAGTTTGTACATATAAAATAATTTCATTTTATATGCTAGTTTACAAACTATAACGGAGGCATGTGTGTGTACACACAGGTAAGTATGTAGACAGATATTTCCTAGTTCTGTCTGCCGAAAGGGCCTAGAAGTACCACCCCAAGAGCAACAAACACACCGAGCACCCAGACCTTGGTTTCTAATTCTGTTCTCCAGGCTTCCTCGAAAATGGCTGATGCTAGGGTTGGAGCAGGATGAATAAAAGATGATCCTGGAGCATCTTATAGTACTGGAAAATAAGGAAGTGCTCAAAAGAAGCCAAAGGATGGGGGCATGTCAAAGAGATACAGAGCCTACTTGAAAGAGCTCCCAATAGCCAAAGCTTAAAAAATTTAAGCAACAAAATAAATAATGCATTTGGATTAAACCCAAATTATAAAATAAATATCCATGAGTCCAAACTGATATAAAATGATTGAATTAATACATAAATGCAAGAGAAGAAACAAATTTTCCTTACAGAAGAATTCGAAACATTTTATGTAGCTGCTCCCTGCCCCCACGCTCTTTCCTGAGTGTAGGCTGCACTTCGTGACTTGCTTCTGAAGAACAGTGTGTGGAAAGGGGAGAAAGTAACTTCGCAGTGGAGACCACTGGAAACACTACCTCAGCCAAGTGATCCAGGCTGATGTGACGGAGATAACTCACGTCGACAGCGTGAACCCGATACGATGGGACGAGAAGGGCGCCTCCCTGGTCTCCTTCCTAAAAACCTGTAACCCCAGTCTAACTGTGAGAAAAACATCAGACAGACCCAAGTTGAGGGACAGTCTACAAAATACCTGGCCAGCACTCCTCGAAATGGTTAAGGTCATGACAAACAAAGAAAGTCTCAGAAACTATCACAGACCTAAGGAGACTCAGGAAACATGACAACCACATGGAACGTGGGATCCGGGAACAGAACGAGGACATGAGTGGGAAAACTAGTGAAAACTGAATAAAGTCTGGAGTTTAGTTTTAAAATTATATGTTATATAATTTGTTATTTATTTTATATTATAAAAATATATTCTTATTCTTGTGTATTATATATTAATAAACATTTACATCATAAACATATTATATATATAGAAAAGAATAGAAAAGATCCCATTTACAAAAGGAACAAAAAAATAGAAAAAACTCATGTATCTATGAAGAATAAATGTGCATGCAAGAATTTTTTTTTTCTGGCACACCACAGCTTGCAGGGATCAAACCTGGGCCCTGGCAGTGAAAGCACCAAGTCCTAACCACTGGACTGCCAGGGAATTCCCCATGCAAGAACTTTCAAATGAAGAAAACCTAAAAGGTTATAGAGGACTTCCCTGGTGGAGCAGTGGTTAAGAATCGACCTGCCAATGCAGGGAACACGGGTTCAATCCCTGGTCCAGGAAGATCCCACATGCCACGGGGTAACTAAGCCCGTGCACCACAACTACTGAGCCTGCGCTCTAGAGCCTGTGCTCCACAACAAAAGAAGCCACCACAATGAGAAGCCCATGCACACAATGAAGAGCAGCCCCTGCTCGCCGCAACTAGAGAAAACCCACGTGCAGCAACAAAGACCCAACGCAGCCAAAAGTAAA